TTTGAGAGATGTGTGACATGCGTCAGATTCCTGAGCTTGTTTGCCCTTTGTGAAGCGGAGGTAGTAAAGACAGAGCAGAGTGCAGAAAGTGGATATTGTGGAGACAAGAGTCGGCAGAGGCTTTGTTTGCAGTTGAGCCCTGCCGTAGTTAAGCTCCAGAGAAGGTGGTGTGCACTCATTTCAGCGGGGACAGTCAGACTTGCGGCAGTTCTCGAGTCGGAGGGTGCGTGCATGTGGCAGGTTTGGAAACCACATCGAGAAAGAGACAAAGGGGGAAAGCCGTTGCATGAGTGAAGTGAGGGAGAAAGCGGCAGTGACGGCTCTGGGGCACGGCCGTTTGGCCGGAGACGAGAGTCGGCAGTGTTCTTCAATGCAGGCGACTGCCGTAGAAAGTCCCCACAGAAGGAAGTTGCTGCACTCATTAAAGCGAGGGTGAGCTTGTTTGCGGGTGTCCCACGCGTCGGAGGGTGCTAACATAGACAGTGTCAGGCTGTTGTTTGTGACTGAGATTTGGACGGATCTGTGTGCTGGCAGTGCTTGCGTATTTGAGAGATGTGTGACATGCGTCAGATTCCTGGGCTTGTTTGCCTTTTGTCAAGCGGAGGTAGTAAAGACAGAGCAGAGTTCAGAAAGTGGATTTTGTGGAGACAAGAGTCGGCAGAGGCTTTTTTGCAGTTGAGCCCTGCCGTAGTTAAGCTCCAGAGAAGGTGGTGTGCACTCATTTTAGCGGGGACAGTCAGACTTGCGGCAGTTCTCGAGTCGGAGGGTGCGTGCATGTGGCAGGTTTGGAAACCACATCGAGAAAGGGACAAAGGGGGAAAGCCGCTGCATGAGTGAAGTGAGGGAGTAAGCGGCAGTGACGGCCACGGGGCACGGGGCGTTGTTTGCTTTGGCCGTCGGCCATTTGGCTGTTTGGCCGTTTGGCCGTTTGGCCGGAGATGAGAGTCGGCAGTGTTCTTGAATGCACGCACCTGCCGTAGAAAGTCTCCACATAAGGAGTTGCTGCACTCATTAAAGCGAGGGTTGAGCTTGTTTGCGGGTTTCCCACGCGTGTCAGTCTGTTGTTTGTGACTGAAATGTGGACGCGGATCTGTGTGTTGGCAGTGCTTGCGAATTTGAGAGATGTGTGACATGCGTCAGATTCCTGAGCTTGTTTGCCTTTTGTCAAGCGGAGGTAGTAAAGACAGAGCAGAGTTCAGAAAGTGGATATTGTGGAGACAAGAGTCGGCAGAGGCTTTTTTGCAGTTGAGCCCTGCCGTAGTTAAGCTCCAGAGAAGGTGGTGTGCACTCATTTCAGCGGGGACAGTCAGACTTGCGGCAGTTCTCGAGTCGGAGGGTGCGTGCATGTGGCAGGTTTGGAAACCACATCGAGAAAGGGACAAAGGGGGAAAGCCGCTGCAAGAGTGAAGTGAGGGAGTAAACGGCAGTGACGGCCCCGGGGCACGGGGCGTTGTTTGCTTTGGCCGTCGGCCATTTGGCTGTTTGGCTGTTTGGCCGTTTGGCCGTTTGGCCGGAGATGAGAGTCGGCAGTGTTCTTGAATGCAGGCACCTGCCGTAGAAAGTCTCCACATAAGAAGTTGCTGCACTCATTAAAGCGAGGGTTGAGCTTGTTTGCGGGTTTCCCACGCGTCGGAGGGTGCTAACATAGACGGTGTCAGACTATGGTTTGTGACTGAAATGTGGACGCGGATCTGCGTGTTGGCAGTGGTTGCGAATTTGAGAGATGTGTGACATGCGTCAGATTCCTGAGCTTGTTTGCCTTTTGCCAAGCGGAGGTAGTAAAGACAGAGCAGAGTGCAGAAAGTGGTTATTGTGGAGACAAGAGTCGAGCCCTGCCGTAGTTAAGCTCCAGAGAAGGTGGTGTGCACTCATTTCAGCGGGGACAGTCAGACTTGCGGCAGTTCTCGAGTCGGAGGGTGCGTGCATGTGGCAGGTTTGGAAACCACATCGAGAAAGGGACAAAGGGGGAAAGCCGTTGCATGAGTGAAGTGAGGGAGAAAACGGCAGTGACGGCCCTGGGGCACGGGGCGTTGTTTGCTTTGGCCGTGTGGCCGTTTGGCCGTTTGGCCAAAGAGGACAGTGTTCTTGAATGCAGGCACCTGCCGTAGAAAGTCTCCACAGAAGGAAGTTGCTGCACTCATTAAAGCGAGGGTTGAGCTTGTTTGCGGGTTTCCCACGCGTGTCAGTCTGTTGTTTGTGACTGAAATGTGGACGCAGATCTGTGTGTTGGCAGTGCTTGCGAATTTGAGAGATGTGTGACATGCGTCAGATTCCTGAGCTTGTTTGCCTTTTGTCAAGCGGAGGTAGTAAAGACAGAGCAGAGTTCAGAAAGTGGATATTGTGGAGACAAGAGTCGGCAGAGGCTTTTTTGCAGTTGAGCCCTGCCGTAGTTAAGCTCCAGAGAAGGTGGTGTGCACTCATTTCAGCGGGGACAGTCAGACTTGCGGCAGTTCTCGAGTCGGAGGGTGCGTGCATGTGGCAGGTTTGGAAACCAAATCACAAAGGGGGAAAGCCGTTGCAAGAGTGAAGTGAGGGAGTAAACGGCAGTGACGGCCCCGGGGCACGGGGCGTTGTTTGCTTTGGCCGTCGGCCATTTGGCTGTTTGGCTGTTTGGCCGTTTGGCCGTTTGGCCGGAGACGAGAGTCGGCAGTGTTCTTGAATGCAGGCACCTGCCGTAGAAAGTCCCCACAGAAGGAAGTTGCTGCACTCATTAAAGCGAGGGTTGAGCTTGTTTGCGGGTTTCCCACGCGTCGGAGGGTGCTAACATAGACAGTGTCAGGCTGTTGTTTGTGACTGAGATTTGGACGGATCTGTGTGCTGGCAGTGCTTGCGTATTTGAGAGATGTGTGACATGCGTCAGATTCCTGAGCTTGTTTGTCTTTTGTCAAGCGGAGGTAGTAAAGACAGAGCAGAGTTCAGAAAGTGGATATTGTGGAGACAAGAGTCGGCAGAGGCTTTGTTTGCAGTTGAGCCCTGCCGTAGTTAAGCTCCAGAGAAGGTGGTGTGCACTCATTTCAGCGGGGACAGTCAGACTTGCAGCAGTTCTCGAGTCGGAGGGTGCGTGCATGTGGCAGGTTTGGAAACCACATCGAGAAAGGGACAAAGGGGGAAAGCCGTTGCAAGAGTGAAGTGAGGGAGTAAACGGCAGTGACGGTGCTGGGGCACGGGGCGGTGTTTGCTTTGGCCGTTGGCCGTTTGGCCGTTTGGCCGTTTGGCCGTTTGGCCGGAGACGAGAGTCGGCAGTGTTCTTGAATGCACGCACCTGCCGTAGAAAGTCTCCACATAAGGAGTTGCTGCACTCATTAAAGCGAGGGTTGAGCTTGTTTGCGGGTTTCCCACACGTCGGAGGGTGCTAACATAGACAGTGTCAGGCTGTTGTTTGTGACTGAAATGTGGACGCGGACCTACGTGTTGGCAGTGCTTGCGAATTTGAGAGATGTGTGACATGCGTCAGATTCCTGAGCTTGTTTGCCTTTTGTCAAGCGGAGGTAGTAAAGACAGAGCAGAGTTCAGAAAGTGGATATTGTGGAGACAAGAGTCGGCAGAGGCTTTTTTGCAGTTGAGCCCTGCCGTAGTTAAGCTCCAGAGAAGGTGGTGTGCACTCATTTCAGCGGGGACAGTCAGACTTGCGGCGGTTCTCGAGTCGGAGGGTGCGTGCATGTGGCAGGTTTGGAAACCACATCGAGAAAGGGACAAAGGGGGAAAGCCGTTGCAAGAGTGAAGTGAGGGAGTAAACGGCAGTGGCGTGCCCCAGGGCCGGGGCGTTGTTTGCTTTAGCCGTCGGCCGTTTGGCCGTTTGGCCGTTTGGCCGTTTGGCCGGAGATGAGAGTCGGCAGTGTTCTTGAATGCAGGCACCTGCCGTAGAAAGTCTCCACATAAGAAGTTGCTGCACTCATTAAAGCGAGGGTTGAGCTTGTTTGCGGGTTTCCCACGCGTCGGAGGGTGCTAACATAGACGGTGTCAGACTATGGTTTGTGACTGAAATGTGAACGCGGATCTGCGTGTTGGCAGTGGTTGCGGATTGCAGAGATGTGCGACGTGTGTCAGATTCCTGAGCTTGTTTGCCTTTTGCCAAGCGGAGGTAGTTAAGACAGACAAGAGTGCAGAAAGTGGATATTGTGGAGACAAGCGTCGGCAGAGGCTTTGTTGCAGTTGAGCCCTGCCGTAGTTAAGCTCCAGAGAAGGTGGTGTTCACTCATTTCAGCGGGGACAGTCAGACTTGCGGCGGTTCTCGAGTCGGAGGGTGCGTGCATGTGACAGTTTTGGACACCTCAGAGAGAGACGCGCATATGCGAGCGCAGCAGTTGCCGTTAGCTCTTGGCTGTTGCCCAGAGACAGTGTTCTTGAATGCAAGCGCCTGCCGTGGAAAGTCTTCACAGAAGGAAGTTGCTGCACCTATGAAAGCGAGGGTTGGAGCTTGTTTGCGGGTTTCCCACGCGTTGGAGGGTGCGACCAAAGGCGATGCTTGCGGGTTTGTATTTCTACGCAGAGAGAATTGCATGCACCAGATTTAGCGTATTTGTTTGTTGTGTTTGTTTGTTTTGTTTAGTTGTTTGTTTGCTTGCCTGCCTGCTTGCTTGCTTGCTTGCTTGCTTGCTTGCTTGCTTGCTTGCTTGCTTGCTTGCTTGCTTTCTTGTTTGTTCACGCAAAAGTCTTGTGAGCCATGGAACGCTTGCTTTGAAGAGTTTCGATGGCCCGTGTTTGGAGGCTAGAAGCTTTTCGCCGTGGAAATTCAGGCATTGGTGACTCGTTTGCTTCTCTGGCTATTTCCCAGGTGTGCAAGGTTCAGCGTTTATAGCGTTCACTTGTGCTGAATTGCTTCTTGACTCCCGGGAAAACGCCGTACTCCTGGTACATGTCTTCGTTTAGCCTCATGCTGGCTTTTGTTTTCTGCCCTTGACCCAATCCACCGATTTCTCGCGCCTGCCATGTACGGATGCCAAAACGGGGTGGAGCTTCGATCAGGCGCGGGAGGTGGCCCAACGGTTGAACCTGGGCGAGGAAGTCGCCGGCGCCCCAAGCAGGCTTGAGGTACATATTCACTGCGATTTGGTACTCGAGGCGTATCAGAGCCTTGCTTTGAGGTCAACCGCTGCACAACACTGATGCAGGACTTGGGACAGTGGAAGAGTGCTGCCGCAGTTTTTGTCCATCGTACAAATATTTACTCACAGCTTTGATTTTGGGGAGGGTATCTCCAGGATCCCTTGCTAGCAAGACCGAGAGACCGATTTGGATTTTTGTTAGGTGCTCACCATATGGCTGGAAACCGCTTGCTTTTGGCTGCGGCAGCCGAGCGACCTAAGCTTTTTACTTGCAAAGTGAGGATTGCCATTGCAAAGGAACGGATCGAGAAGGTGCAAACATGCTGAGGAGATGCCAAGCATGAAACGTTTTTTTCTTGAAATACAAGGAGCACTCAGTCATACTCAGGCTATATCAACGACCAATCCCCAGGACCACTCTGTGAGTGATCCTTTGCCTCTCCCGCTTTCAATTCGCAAGGAGTTGGCGGAGAAGAACAAGCTGAAGTCTCACATGAAGGCAGGGCGCAGTCAAAGTCGCGTGATCAGCACGCCGATGGGTCGATGGATCTTGTAGTTTGGATGTTGGGTAGACAGGTATTTAATTGTTTGCTTTGTTTCGTAAGGCAACATTGCCACCATTTCTCAATAGGAAAGCAAGGCTTATTCAAGCAATAGCCTCTGCGGAGCCCTACGGCCGAACAGTTCAACATGCATTGGATCTTCGCTATGCCCACTGCCCTGCGAGATAGAAGGTGCCCTTCTTCTGCGCCCTGGTGGAGATGGCATGTCGGGAGGAGCCGCATCCCAAGTTTGAGAGCATTTCTGAGGGGGTCCGTTGTGCCATCGGACTTTGGGCCTAGTTGGGATGTGTATGGACCCCTGATTGGGGGATGTAGGCAAGCGATGTGGTTCAATAGGGGTTTCTGGAATCCTGGCCAGAGGGTCTGACGTCCGGCCCGGCAGCGGTTGGGGCCGTGCCGTCAGGAGGGAATCACCAAGACGGTGCACGACCTCGCGCAGGCCAACAGCGGCGCATTCGCCATGAAAGCCGAGGCGAGCGCAGTTCAGCGGCGCCGCTTCAAAAGCGGAAACGACCCAAAGGTTCATCAATTTGGGTGCGGGTCCCCCAATCAACAACCCAATTTGGTCCTTTTTATTGCGGTCACCAAAGAAGTTCCTCAATTCGACTGGCACATTTGCCATCAGATTCTATGTGAGTTGTGGCCATCTGCCTGAGCGCGACACTGAATGTAAGAAGAGCGTGGATGTGCCCAGCTGACAATACCACAAGCATGCTCTCATGTTTGCAGCGGAGGGCGGTATCAGTGGTATCAGAGCCCGCTTTTACAAATTGCGTGGCATCGTTTTTGCCACACGAACCCATTGAGCTTTCTGCACTCATGCTTTTGGGCTTGGCTTGCAGTTTTCATGGTCCGGGAGTTCTCGGTTTCCTTCGCATCGTATGCTTTGCGTCTTATGCATCAGTAGTCGTTTGCTTTCCCAGCTTTTTCTGTCCAGTATCTTCTTCCTTCCTCAGCATTTTCGGATTTGCCCATGGCTTTTGGCCGCCTGACCCTCAGCGTTTGCTTCTAAGCTTGGCCCAGCATCCACCAAGACGCAGATGAACTGGTATGTGTAGGATCTCAATCAGACTCAGGTTACTCCGAGTTCAATAGGAAGAGCTGACAACCCAAATCACTGGTCTGATTTTGATTAAAACACATCAATCAAACTGACTTCCAAAGGACAAAGAGCCAAACGCCAAAAGGCAAGACACCACTTTAGCTTGGCTCCAGGTGGAGCTCCTGCAGGTGCAGCCGCTGGAGGGCCGAGCCCTGCGGGCCAACTTCAAAGCTCCACAGGCCACCAAGGTCCTGGCAAAGTCCCTGGCCTTTGACGGCGTGCAGGCGCGACGTTTCGACGTTTGCGACGTCGGATTCGTGCCTTTGCCACTAAGAGCAGTTTACCCTTCATTGGAACTCGTCAATTAGCCCCCCCCCCCCCGCAGCCACGGGAGCACCTCATGACTTTGGCTCGTCGTTGGTCTGTCCAATGCACTGCCGCAAAGTCCCAAGACCTTTGCCGGACTGGTGATATGTCATGGAGAAACTCAGAGTATGAGCAACGGCCGGATCCGCTCGCAGGGCTTCGTTTTCAGAAAACTATTTGATCCGGTCCAAGATTTCCGGTGGCGGAATGCTTGATCCTGCGTGGGATCGGTGGATGGCAGGCGTGTTAGCCGAGGCTCCAATGCGGTTGGCTGATGGGTTCAAAAATAATGATTGTAGGGACAGATAGGTCCATTTCCTTTGGAGGGGTATTTTTCATATTTGTTTGTCCGTTTTTTTTTTTTTTTTAATACGCTTTTGGCTTCTTGGCTTCTTGGCTTTTTGGCTTCTTGGCTTTTGGCTTCTTGGCTTCTTGGCTTCTTGGCTTCTTGGCTTCTTGGCTTCTTGGCTTCTTGGCTTTTTGGCTTCTTGGTTGGCTTCTTGGCTTTTCGGCTTTTTGGCTTCTCAGCTTCTGCCTTTCGCATCCTCTGCATTCCTCTTTGGCAGGTGGCATTTTGGCTTTTACGGCTTTTCGCTGGTTTATGCGGCTTTTGGCGGTTTTAGCTTTTTGCATCCTCTGCTTTCCCAGTTCCTGTCCGGGCTTTTTGGCTGTTGCACCCTTTCATTGGTTTTTGGATGTGGCTTCCCGCATCATCAGCATCACCAGTTCCGCCCTATTTGAGTCATCACTTCTTCAAGCATCATAGGGGGGGAAGGCCGTATGGTGGACACTTGGGGTCTATTTTGCAACCTCCTTCTTTTAGGGTCTTGGTTTTTTAGGGTTCTTGGTTGCAAAATAGACTCTAGGTGTCCATGGCACGGGGGAAGGCCCCCCCCCCCCCGCACCCACCCGCCACTGTTTAGATTGCTTGCAGAGTAATTGCACCCCTATTTGAATCAACACTTCTTCAAACATCATGGGGGGGGCTGCCGCCTCCCCCCCGCTACTTTTTGGATTTATCTTGCAGAGATGGAATGGCACCCCTAGTCCAATCATCACTTTTCGAGCGTCCAATTTCGCGAGAAAATGCTGCAAAATACGACATTTTAGGTATTCTATGTAGTCCATGTATGTCTGTATATATGTACTTCTTCGAACATCATAGGGGAAGCCACCCTCGCCAACCCTCCCGCTGCCTTTCAAATTCTATCGCACCCTTTCTTGAATCATTGCACCCCTACTTGAATCATCACTTCTTCCGACATCATGGGGGGGCTGCCGCCCCCCCAGCCCCCCCGCTACGTTTTAGATTTTCTACAGAGATTTAATTAATTGCACCCCTAGTTGAATCATCAATTCTTCGAACATCATGGGGGGGGCTGCCGCCCCCCCCCAACCCCCCCGCTACTTTTTAGACTTTTTGCAGAGATTTAATTGCTCCCCTATTCAAATCATCACTTCTGCGAACAACATCATGGGGGGGCTGCCGCCCCCCCCAACCCCCTGCTACTTTTTCTCTAAAACAGGGATTGAAATGCCCTCCTTTTTGAATCATCATTTTTTTGACCCCGTCAACCCGCCAGCTACTTTTTTTGATTTTGTTACCCACGATTTGTTGGTGATGCTAGGGATGTTGGTCGGACATGCGGGGGATGTTGAAAACGATGCTGGGGATGTTGACGGGCTTGTGCAAAAACGCACTTTTTTTTTGGGTAGTAGAAGCCCCTCTTCCTTACTACTGCAGTCAGGCAGCGAGGCGAGTCTCTCGCCAGCATCGATGGCGCGAGGTCTTCGGACATCACACCTCTCACCAACCCCTTGTACTTCCTCAGTGGAAGGCCCCATGCACAGTCCCAGTTGCAGAGAGGGTTGAGGAGGCTGCAAGGCAAGCAGCCCAGGCCTGCAAACTTCCCAGAGCCAAGGGCAAGGGTTGAAGAAGGAGGAGTGGTCAGGGCAGAGGTTGCAGCATTCCCAGAGCCAAGGGCAAGGGTTGAAGAAGGAGGAGTGGTCAGGGCAGAGGTTGCAGCAGAGCCAGCAGAGGAGGCAGAGGGAGCAAGGGCAAGGGATGCAGGAGAGGAGGCAGAGGAGCCCGTTTTGCCAGTCACAGGCTTGCTAGCAGACTACATGGAGGCACATGCTGACCACTGGGACATTGACTTCATTTCCATGCAAGTTCTGCCAGCTGCTCTTCCTCTTCTGACCGAGTATTGGAGGATTGGTGGCAGCCCTGCCAGGTCAGGAACTGACTTCCCTGCTGGCCTGGAAGTGTGCCATCAGGACCCATGGACACTCAGGGCTGTGCCACACCCTGCATGCAGGTGCAACAGTTGCTGAAATGGAGCAACAGGCAGGTTTTGTGTGCGACCTCCGACATGAGCTGCTGCAAAACTGGGGAGGCCACCCCATCCTGTCACACCAAGAAGCACTTGCACTTGGCACTGCATCCCAGAATGTGTCATGTGGAGCTCCTTGCAGAGGTGCTGATGGAGGCTCAGGACAGGCAGCGCTTCAGGCTGCATTGGTGCAGCTGTGGCTGCAAGCTGCCAGCAGCCAACATGTGGAGGTCTGTTATGGAGCCACTTTGGGACCACATGGAAAGCACCACAGCTGCAAGCGTTGTGTTTTGTTTTTTTGGTTGGGTGAGTGCCAGTGTGGCTCTTGTGTAGGTCTGTGGGTGCACTTGTGTTTGCTGAGGAGTCCTGCCACCAGCAGAGCTGGCTTCCTATGCTCAGCAGACCGAAGTGGACTTGGGGTTGCAATCTCAAGGCAATGGCTAAAATGCGCCAATCTCGCGAGAAAATGCGGTAAAATACAACATTTTACTGGCCCGGACGAAAAACTAAAAAAAACATCAAACAATTGCACCAGCATAGACCCCAGATAGCACACTACGGCTACGAACCATGAGACAGCATCATAATGGTTCCGGCGGCATCATGCTGATGTTGACAATATTTTGATGATGTTGACAGCATCATGAGGATACCACAGCTACTCAGCATAGTGCGCTAGATAGACGCGCGGACAACGTCCTAGTGAGTTCAGCGTTGACAGGATGATGCTGACACACCAGCCTCGAACGATTCCACGCTACATATCTAGCAGACAACAAGGCAGAGACGACGTCCTGATGAGTTCGACAGCATCATATATGCGGACAGCATCATGGTGATGCTCACAGCATCATGGTGATACGAGGATACCACAGCCACGAATCATTTTGCGACAGTGCAATGAAATTCAGCATCATCCTGATGTTGACAGCATTCTTCCGCCGCCACACCCACGAAGCATAATGCAGCATCGGAGCAATTGCAGCAGCATCTTGACGTGGTTGACAACATCATGATGACACACCAGCCACGAACCATTACACGCGACAGTTCGAGCAAGCAACAACGTCTGAATCGGTGCGGCCAGCATCATGATGCTGCGGCAAGCATCATGACGATGCGACAGCCACGATACCCCAAACAGCGCCCGCCCTAGCACCCTGCCATCCATATGCGACGCCCCAAAACAGCAGCCCCAACAGCGCCCCACGCGCGCCAGCGCCGGACACGTCCCCAAGCACCCTGCCGTCACGTACTGTCACCACAAAACCGCACCTGCGCCAGTAACCCAAAGTGCATGCCCCCCAGCTCCCAGCCGTCCTCCAACAGCAACTCAAAACAAGCACCTGCGCCTGCCCCCTAGCGCCCGCCGGCAATGTCCGAAAATTGCGCTCACAACGTCAGCAGCACCTCAAACCGAAACAGTACGCCAAAACAGCTGCATCAGCTCGCCAAACTGCATGCGCCATCAATCTTGCAAGAATGCGCCTGCGCCACCACCAGCGCCTCAAACAGCACCCCAAACTGCATCGCGAAACAGCACCGCCACTAGCACCCCAAATTACATGCCCGCTAGCACCCGGCCGTCAATCTCGCAAAGCGGCACCTCCACCAGCATCCGAAACTACATGACCCCTAGCACTTGGCCGTCAATCTCGCAAAATAGCACCTCCACCAACACCCCAATCTGCATGCCCCCCTAGCACCCGGCCATCAATCTCGCAAACCAGCACCTCCACCAATGCCCCAAACTGCGTGCCCCCTAGCACCCGGCCGTCAATCTCGCAAAGGGGCGCCTCCACCAGCACTCCAAACTGCATGCCCCCTAACACCCGGCCGTCAAGCTCGCAAAACAGCACCTCCACCAGCGCCCCAAACTGCATGCCCCCCAGCACCCGGCCCTCAATCTCGCAAATCACTTTCCCTTCTTTATTGGAAGTTAGAACCCCTATAGCTTTCAGCTATCTGGGGAAAAGAGAAAAACCCAAAAATACATCCGCACCCATTTCCTTTTTCCTATGGGCTAGCATTGCTGATGTCGCCACGCCAGGTGACACTAGCACCCTTGCAGCGACTGCCTGGCAGCAATGAGGTGGGCTGATGATGTGGGCATGCGGTGTTGCCTAGGCACGCAAGAGGCAAGCGCTCAACCCCGAACAATTAGCCTGATGACAATGCCAGCCTCCCAGGTATAACCAGCCATTGTCCTTTGCCTATTTGGCTACAGATCGCATGTGATCCCCCATTTTGCCAAGCTCATTTTCGGGCCAATTGCTGCCTGCAATTGTTGATGGCTGGGTGCTCTCCAGCCACTCCAAGTTATGTTTGAACGTAACTTCCTAGTTTAAGAGCATGTGTGTGGATTGCTTGGCTTCTGCCAGGCCGTTTGTCACTGACTGATTTGGAAAGAAAGGCTTTTTTTGAGGAGGGAAAGCAGCGCTTTTGACGCTCATACGGGCTATAGAAGCGGTCTGAATTCCATCGGAAAAAGTGTGTGAAATGCAACATTTGGGTGCGTCTTAAAACAGGGGGCCCAGCAAGACCTGTGCATTTCGTTTCGGTTTCCCTTTACGGCCACAAAAAAACGGGGTCCCCATTTGGGAAGCAATCTCAAGATCGCGAGGCCACTTGTATGGTCACCTGGCAAGGTGCCAGAGAGGACGGGCGGATCGGGTGTCGGGGGATCTGATTTACATTTCCGTCAACCGGTTGCATGCCATAGGCGCCATAGGCAATTTTCTATCAGATCACACCGTTTGATCCTGAGATACTGCCAGTCCAATTGAGATTTGTTGGACACATCAGTTGAAGAGGCGCAGCTTCTTTGGTTAAAATGTCATTTTCGCACATCGGCCGCACATGCAGATCTCGATTTCCCTTCACGTTGAACATGACGGGCTCAGGCAAATGGCGTTTCAGCAGGCGTGATCTTGAAGCGCACACACCTTTTCCTTGCAGTCCATTCCTGTTGGTTTCTGCATCAGGCCACCATGAAAGTTAGAGGTGAGCAGCTGCATGTTTATGTGGCCTGGATTGTTCATGTTCATTCCATCCATTCTGGGTTGCCTTTGTATGGCCGGCAGCAGCCAGGTTCTATCATAAACCATGACCATCACATAGGCCCGCAAGTAGTTGCGCATGTCCCCGGCTGCAGGCTCATGCGGGCCAGATTGAGGAGCACCTGCGAAAGCAAGTGGACGAGCTGAACCAGGTTGACAACTCAGTGCCATGAGCAGCTTAAAGCGCGCGGCTGGGGCTTTTACTTTTTGGTTGGTCAAGGATGTGGTTTTGCGATGCGCCGTGCTGCTTTGATAATGAGATATTTCTTGCTGGCGGCTTGCGACTTGGAGGGTCAACAGAGTCAATGCTTGCCGGCTGCAGATCCTGGAGGCTGTTTGTTGCATGTTTCCCTCAACTGAATCTCTGCTTCAGGCCAAGCATGAGGAGAAGATCGCCAAGAATATCGCCAAGCAGAGTCAGCTGCTTTGCATCGCCGGCAGCATAGCATCCCCAGGGGTTCAGCCATAGCGAAGTTGTCCAGTGTCACATGCGCGACTGCCACTTTTCTGGCTGGCACCCAGGACTTGGGTCGTACGCGCACTCGCATCAGCTCCGTTGAGGAGGAGAGAACATGGGAAGAGCTGTTTCGCTTTCGGGCGCACCTGTTGAGTCCTCAATGCGAGCGTACGTGCTTGTTAGGTTGGGTAGCAAACTCACTCGCTATAAATCTCTCTCTCTCTCTCTCTATACAGATATTTGCATACGCATGGATAGGCAGCACAATCAACAACGCCAGACTTAGATGATGCATGGACTCAGTTGTTCCTGTATACAAACAACCATAGACGCAAACAAACATGCACGCATGAAAGCATACATACATCCATACCTACATGAATAATGAAGACATACGTACAGACAGACAGACAGACAGACAGACAGACAGACGGACAGACAGACAGACAGACAGACAGACAGACAGACAGACAGACAGACAGACAGACAGACAGACAGACAGACAGACAGACAGACAGACAGACAGACAGACAGACAGACACACACAGATAAACATAAAGATCCAGACATGCACACATGCACACACAGACACACACACACACATACACGCACACAGACACATTACACACACATACATACATACATACATACATACATACATACATACATACATACATACATACATACATACATACATACATACATACATACATACATACATACATACATACATACATACATACATACACACACACACATACATACATACATACATACATACATACATACGTACGTACGTACGTACGTACGTACGTACGTACGTACGTACACGCATACACGCATACACGCATACACACATACACACATACACACATACACATACACACATACACACATACACACATACACACATACACACATACACACATACATACATACATAGATACATACATACATACATACATACATACACACATACATACATACATACATACATACATACATACATACATACATACATACATACATACATACATACATACATACATACATACACACATACATACATTACATACATACATTACATACATACATACATACATACATACATACATACATACACATACACATACATACATACATACATACATACATACATACATACATACATACATACATACATACATACATACATACATACATACATACATACATACATACATACATACATACATACATACATACATACATACATACATACATACATACATACATACATACATACATACATACATACATACATACATACATACATACATACATACATACATACATACATACATACATACATACATACATACATACATACATACATACATACATACATACATAACATATGTATATATATATACACGATTGTACATATATATATATATATTTATGTATGGTTATTTGTATGTATATATGTATGTATATATACACATGCACACACACACACAGAGACCCGCAACAACACACGATTTGCGTTGTCGGAGAAACCGCTTTGGCACGCATTAGCGAGGATCTGGCCAAGCGCTATGTGGCCCGTTTGGGTCTTGCGGCGCAGGCGTGGGTGTCACAAGCCAAGAGAGCGGTGGAGCGGTTTGTTTCTTTGCAAGTTGAAGGTGACGACTAACCTTTTCTTGGTTCCTTGTAGCAATCGAATCTTTCAGCAGAACAATCCAAAGGCGCCGAACTGCGTTGAGTGTTCATGTGCCGATGCTGCCTAGGTGGTGGCACCCGCAATGCACATCGCCAATCAAGCCTTGCAGCCGGGCTCTCCAGCGTTTCCACAAGGCCATGTCAAACTTGGTCTATGAGCTCATGTGATTCTGGGAGGAAATCATGCTCACAGGGCAATTCAGATCTCATGGGAAAGATCTGGTAGACAGTTCGGCTCGGCTCACAGCCCTGAGTTGCTAAGGCACGACTTCGTGAAGCAGGGCAAGGCGAAAAGCGGGTGTGCTTGGCAGTCTTTGCAGTAGGGCCTTTTCGCAGTAGGCCTGCGAAGATGGCTTGGAGATGAACGAAGCTATGGTCAAGGTTCCCCGCAGTTAAACAATTGCAACGTTCCTGCTCGGATATTGGCTCCTGGGTGTTTGAGCCCACATGGTTGTGAATCATGGGCGGACATTTCAAACAAGTCAGCTAATTGTAAAAGCTTCGCGTTGCCCGCCTCGGCCAGTCCGCTTTTGGCTGGCTTTGAGGTATACACGGTGCTTTAGTTTGCCTTGAAGTTTTGTGTTTGCGTGAGCTGTCTGCAGGGGTCGGGCGGACCAGTTTCGAAGTGGGGAAGGGTGTTGGGGATGGGGTTTTGGAGGATCCCAAAGAGGTTCTGAAGGGGTCTGACCGCTTCCCGGCCCTGGGGGCCGAGGCGAATTTTCCTGCTGGGAAAGAAGTGGCCAGTCCATCCTGGGAAGTCCGAAAGAGAGTCAGTCGGTTGTTGTTGGCGCATCCCTGCTTGAGCCAGCATCAGATCCTGATTAGTTGAAGTTTCTTCAGCGGTATTCCCAAGCCTGCCGTTGTGATTCCTTTTCCACTTTTGGGAATTCCTTCGCCAGCCATGTCAGGGGAAATTCAATCGGTTTTGGATGGACATCGCTTGCATGAGGGTGGTCACCAACCCTTCTACCAGGCGTGTCTCAAAAAAGGTGCCCCCCAAAGTGGTTGGTTCGTTTCCCTTCGTAGCCGCCCCCCAAAAAGGCTCCCCTTTTGGTGGTGCCGATCGTCTTTGCCCTCCCGGGCCCCCGCCCGGCAAGGGGTTGCTGGAGCACTCCCTGGCTGCGGCGGCCATGGCCAGTGCCATCTTCATCGTGGCCTGGCTGCTGGATGCGGAGATCAAGCCCAGGCCGCAACTCCACATTTGCTTGCGCCTCATCGGATTCAGCCGGAAATGGTGGAGTTTTCCTTTTGGTTTCCCTGTAACCCCAAAGTACGGAGCCTCAAACACAGGCACATGCGTTTGCTTCCGACTCCAGAAATCCGCTTCAACTTGAGGGTGTATTTTTTGAGATATTGCCCCTCACAGCCGCAAATACCACTTTGTTGACAGGAGGCACATGCGCATTTCTCCCTCGAGGAGAGTGCTTTTGATTTGTGATGTGGACCCTCGCGATGCCTGTAACTGTTAATGCCACACGTTTGAACAGCTGTGAAGGGGAAAGCACGGCAAGGATGCTATCCGAGAGGTTGCGCTTAGGCAACACCCACGTGAGGTTTGGTCAACCTTTTTGGTCTTTGGTTCATTTGGTCGGAATACGGGACAACTCACTGAATTTCCTGCAAAACCGGGGGACTCAATAAGTCATGTGCTTTTGAGGAAAGGGCTTGTGCAATATTTCATTTTGACGTGGCAGATTCGGTCGTGCAGGCTGGCAGATGTGGCCACGGTGGTGAAAGTCAGCGAGGGCTCCGTGCAGGCCTTTGCAAGAGTCCAGTGGGTCAAAGAAATGGGCTCCGGGTGTCATGTCGCGGGGCAAAACGTCAAGGGTCACAAAAAGGCCGTCCGTGTTTGACCGAAGCGAAATCAGGCAGACGTTTTTGAAAGATCTTATTTGTGATCGCTTGGGTCTTGGCAGTTGCGTCACACGATGCTGTTAGGGATGCCTGCTCGTGTGATTGTTGGGTGGCAAGCATCGCCAGACGGCCTACCGGCAAATGCGCGAGCAGATTCGAAAACTGCTGCCGAAGGCGGGGCCTTGCGAGCTTTTGTAGCTCCCTCCCAACTCACACTCCAAGCTTGCACGTTTGAGCTGCCGATTTTTGCAATTGGAGAAGATGTAGACGATCTCACTTCCACATGCGTGGTACCGGGCTGTCTTGCGCATGACGCTGTTCTTCTCTCTGAGCCATGCCTATCATGAATCATATGTCAATCATCGGAGGGCCACAATCCGCGTGCCTGGTGCGATTGAACATTGTGGAATCCGTTGGGGATGAGTTTTTTTTGCCGTCCCTGACTCCAGCCCAACAAAGCGACTCCGGAAACCTGGAGCAGTGCACGGCCAGGGCTTCGTGATCCAGCACAAGCTGGGCGTGGAGGGCTTGCCGAAACTTGAGGAGAAGACCCGGAAGCGCCTGGGCCCCCGACTTTTCGAGGGAGACGTCCATGTAGGGTATGGCCACCAGACGCGACACACCAAAAGACGAGGGGAAGCCTCACTTAGGGCTTGTGTTTTGGGTGTTTTTGAAGTTCGGACACCCCCATTTGAGTTGGTGATTGCCGGAAAGGGTAACTTTCGGGAAAGGTGGCATTTGTGCTGGTCCCCCCGTCAGAAAACAACACAGTCCAGCATCATTCGTGCATCTCACAGCTGGGGTTTTGTCCTCGACAACATGTTGGGGGAGAGCTTGGTTTGTGGAGATTTCCTGACATGAGCAGTGCGTTTTGGGTTGTTGGTTCTGGACGGTTCCGCACTACGCCCCAGGCTCCGCCGACTTGATGTGACGTGGAGTTCTCAGCTCAGGGTGTTCAAGCGTAGACATGAAGTCATGAAGACAGCTTCAACCACTGCTCCTTGCCTCTACTCCAATAGTCTTGGGCGCCCCCATCGCCTAGGTTGTAGCAGCAGACCTGCGAGTGGGCCTGGGAGCATGGGGGTGCCAAGCACTCCACCTAGCCCGGTTTTGCGGCGGACAGCTGAAGGGCCTTGCGGGGTGAACTTGTGCAGAGCCCCCCTTTGGTCTGTCCCAACAGCAGCTGGTTCGGGATGCACGCACTTGCTTGGGCAGCTCCACTTCTGGATAAAATTGAAATCCCATCCCTGGCACTGCCCTGTGTATTGTTCTGTGGTGTGACAAGTTTGGGTCGGACTGTGGGGCATTCAAGGATCCGTTCAGAATTTTCACCGCTAGACCTCTCGGCTTGAGACGCCGACCGAGGGAAAGGCAGATCTGTGCACAAGAGTCGGAAGGAAGGGATCCATCACAGTTCATCAACCTCGCCCCTGATATGCACTTGCGACCGCTTCAAGAGCTGAGTGCACAGCATTGCAGGCTGTTGTTATCCACGCAAGTTCCTGTGTGTGCTTTGTATTCCTTGAATGGAACTTTTTGTGAACGACCTGACCCTTTCCTGGCATGGGGAATACGAAAGGAAGCCGCAGGACCTAAGTTTTCAGCATTCAACCATTGGCTTCAGCGCACACATTTGAGACCTTCACTCCAGGCTTTGGACACATCTTTGGACCCTTGGGGTCAGTGCCTTTGAGGGTCAAAGGGCTTACAAATGAGCTGGTGCTCGACGAGTCCGAGTTTCTTGGAGACTTGGACGCCCCAGTTCCTGCCAGGTGTCGACTCCGCCGAAATGCCCGGGGCCTGGCTCCGAAATGAGGACTCTCATGGAAGCCGGACCATTTTTTGCTTGACAGGCCCAGACGTTTGTTTTGGGAGGGCATCACTTCTCTTTCGATTTGCGTGTGCAAGTGAGACTGTCGGACTGGACCTCTGGGTCCGCAAAAGGAAGCTCTGCCATTGACATGGAGACTGGCAACATTCCGTTTGGATCAAAAGGCTGAGGAGCTCTCAGGTTGTTTCTTGGGGCGTTTTTGCGGCCATGGACGCCTTGTCCTTCCTCTCGGATGTGTGCGGCGTCCTGAAGACGCTGAAAAGGAGCGGGGCGAGGAAGTTGGACAAACCCTGAAACGTCCAGCCAGTTCCCGATTTTTAAGCCCCCCAAAGCGCTCGTCAGCGTCAGCACGCCCAGAGGAGATGAAGCACCCTTGTTCTTACCGCGGCATGCGGGGCTTGGGCCATCTACAAAAGGGGCCAAGTAATAACAGCTGATTTGGGCTCTCTTCGTGTTGGCATTGGAGGACAGGCTGGGTCATGCGGAAGGTGCCGCTTCCGGAGAGCGATGCAGATCACATGCAGCGCTGCGCCATGTGCGCCATGCTTCTGAGTCAGCCGGCAGATCCGCGTGATGATTACTCTGGGGATGCTGCAAAGTTTCATCCCGACAAGGCGAGGAAAGAAGCATGGCGCCACTTGGCGCCACTTGGCGCCACTTGGCTGTTTGAGTGGCGTGCTGTTTCATGGGCGACACGTGAAGTCTGATGACATGCGACATATGTCAACATTGCCAGCAACACACACACACACACTCAGGCCATGTACCCTCCCACCCCTAGAGGGTCCTCCTTAGCGGAAACTGGTCTTTCAGGACCCGTTCCATGTCAATGCATTCCACAGCTTGTCGCTGGCAGGTGGACAAGGTCCGGTTGCTGCGAATGGCTGTGACCCACGACCTCTGTGAGGCTTTGGCCGGAGACATCACGCCCTTCTGCAACCCAAGCCTAGTAGCCTCGAAATTCGACAAGGAGAGAGCTGTCTTTTGGCGTCGACTCCGCACATTTTTGCCTGTTTCACAAGGCAAACAAGTTTCGCAGTGAGCTGCCCACATGGCGTTGTGTTCGTCGTCTTCCTTTTGGCAGAAGTGGTTTCCTGAAAGCGTGAGGTGCTCCTCCCAGTTTTTCTTTGGTTGGGCCGCCGGCCCAAATCTAAACCAACGCTTGGGTGATCAATCGCTGCCGAGTGAACATGCGGCCAGGAGAACCAGGCGATGCAGGCCATCCGCAAAGTGGTGGGGGACCCGCTGGGTGAGGAGCTGTATGGACTGTGGAAGGAGTACGAAGATCTGGAGACTGTGGAGGCCATCTATTGCAAGGAGCGGACGAAAATCCACCTTGATGAACCCCCCCAGAGGAATCAGGGTCCAAATTCTCAGTCCATAGCGCACACATTGGTATGGTCAGCGGACACTTCTCCATCCTTGGGCATAAGCAGAACCACTTGCGAGCCGCAGGCCAATGGTTGAAGATAACAAGAACATCGATATGAACCTGGCTGCGAAACGTCAGAATACCAACAGACAACTGAGGCTTTATAAGCAAAACCAATTCTTTTGGCATAGCGTGTCCCACACCGTGCTCTGATTCCTTTCCTTTGTCACATATCTGGAAGCCCGCAAGGGAGTTGTGGACAAGCCAAATTTAAATGATTTCGCGGGATCGGGCAGGGCACTGCCCGGTGTTGCAGCCTGGTGTTGGCCACCTTGCACCTGAGCTCATCCTTCTCCACGCCGCTCTTATATGCATATGCATTGATTACCCATATATGTATATACACATGTTTACGTAGACGTGTAACACAAGCACAGAAACCAAGCATTAAAGCAATCGGCGCAAGGTGACCTTGTTTTCCTGCATGGCTGCTTGTTTGCCTGCTTGCCTGCTTGCCTGCTTGCCTGGGTTTCTTGCTTGCTTGCTTGCCTGCCTGCCTGCCTGCCTGCTTGCTTGCCTTCTTGCTTGCCTGCTTGCTTGCTTGGCCTGTTTGTGCTTGCTTCCTTGTTTGCTTGCTGGCTGGCTGGCTGGCTGGCTGCCTTACTGGCTTACTGGTTGGCTGGCTGGCTTGCTGACTTGCTTGCTGGCTGGCTTGCTTGCTTGCTTGCTTGGCTTACGTTGGAGGACATTGACAAGTTCGAGATGGTGATGCAAGCCTTCGAGTACGAGAAGGAGCACTTGCGGCCCACCAGCGAGGCACCAGATCGCAACGAAGGATTGTCCATTGCAGGTTGTCAATGGTCATCTTGCAGCGGAAAAAGGGACCGGTGCTATTCCTTCGTAGCAGCATCCAAGTCGTTTTGGCATTTGTGGGACATGGCGTGGGTTCCTGCCGAATGCTGTTGGGATGCTTGGCCCGCATGAAACAAGCGCTCCGAAGGTGGGCGCCCACCCGCTCCACGACTCCTTGGCCCTGGACTCCCCCACAAACCCGGCGGTGTCCGACGAGCCTTTGCGGCGCTTCTTCGTGGCCCGGCCAAGGGCACGGCGTGGGAGACGTTTTCCTCGCGCGAAGGGCATGTGGTGCCAAAAGCGACCGGACACGTGCTCCCAAGCGCACGAGTCGCATGTTTAGCTCTTGGTTCTCATGCCGCAGGGATTTGGGCCATGATCATGGTTGAGGTGGAAGCCATGCCGCATCCAATTTATTGCATGCTGGGTGCAAGCTGGGTGCAAGCTGGGTGCAAGCTGCGTGCAAGCTGGGTGCAAGCTGGGTGCAAGCTGGGTGCAAGCTTTTTGCAGACCAGGGATGGGGCTCCAAGTGCCCCCAAGCGCAATGCCCCATCCAGGCTTGGCTTCTTTTGGAGACCGACAGAGAATAGTCATGTACCGTTTAGTCAGCTTTGGATAATCATCACAATTTATGCAACAGGATCCCCGATCCCTCCGCGCATTACCCATGTCTGTTGCTTTCCCGAAGCAGTTTTCCAAAGCACATCCCAAAGGGGGCTGGATATTCGACGCAAGCCCAGTTCAGCAACTCAATTTGCCAGGTGGCCAACATCCGCTTTATGTTGCCCACAAATATATACCCCTTGCATAAGATGCCATCCTCCCACACTCATCTATGATGCTCAGCAATTCTATGTTCTTTGTCCAAGTCCTCGTTTCGTCTGGCAGCTTTGCTCTTGCCTCTGAGGTGAGCACCAGCTCGGTGCTGCGGACGCCTTTGTTCCGGCGCCTGGACAAGGAGCTCCGGGAGCGGCGAGAGCAGATGCTGAGGCAAAGAGGCTGGGAGGTCAGCGACGAGGAGCGCCAGGCGCCTTCGCGGGCCTCCCCGTCCCCAACTTCCTCGCCGTCAGAGAAGGCGTCAGGCTGAAATGCGGCCGGCACGAAAAAGGAGCGAGCGAGGGAGGGGAAGGAGAACAGAAGGAAGGAGGGAAGGAAGGGAGATGGGTGTGTTTGTGCGCTCACTGGGAAGGCTCCTCACTAGAGCAGCTCAGACTGTTCCTTTGGTGTTGAGGTCACGAGGCGTGCAACTAAGACCATTGGAGCAGAACCTTGAACTCGGACTGAACCCTGTCCCAAAGAATACCTTGCCGGAGCTTGAACCATCCCAATGATCAACTGCTTCGGATAGGCCTGCTCCAGCGAAAGATCCATCGCGGGGAGATGTCAAACTAGAATCGGGAAATCTGGGGACACACACTGGTTCCCAATGCAAACGTTCTACACATTTGGCTCATTGCTCCTGTGCATGCAAGGCATTCTGCAGCTAGTGATAGGAGGCCAGTGGACTGGAACAGGATAGCCAGACCAGCACACACGCAACTGAACGCTTTGCTCAGTTTTTCAGTAGGCAAGCTTTGCTTAACAATGTCAATCGAATTCAGAGGTTGGCATTTGTATGAAACCCATGTCTTAAACATTGCTAGGTACGTGCTGCTGATCTAAACACTTTACTGCTGATGCGTGGGTGAAATCCCAAGACCATGCTGTCTTTGCAGCTATCCAAGAAGGGCAACATAAACTGTACAGGAAGTGCGGAACGGACAGGGGAAGAAGGCATCAAGAGGAGACATGGTCAGGGAGAAGCAAGCTAGTACATAACTCAGCACCAACACGATATGCCTTTTATTTGTCATTTCGCTCCCTCCCCCCCCCCCAAAAAAAAAAAAACACTATTTGAGTGCAGCCGGACTGCTCCGTTTCTAAGGTTTGTTTCTGTTCCGGGTGCTGCGAATCTGTCCCAGCCACAAGTAGCCAGTTGGGCACACATCTGCGTCTTTTGCTGCAATCGCACCGAGAGCAAGCCAGCTTGGTACGGAGAATCGAATGCTTCTCTAAGCCTGAACCAGTCGCCCCATGCCTCATGAGCCGCAGCCGCAGCCGCAGCCGCAGCCGCAGCCGCAGCCGCAGCTCCAGCAGCAGCAGCGGCGGCAGCAGCAGCAGCAGTGGCGGCGGCCGGGCTCGCGAGGCCGGTACGCTTTGATATGTGAATATGTATATATATATATATATATGTACATATGTATATACATTTATTTGTTCAGATAAGTTCAGATACGTCCTTGTTCCGATGAATGGGGTCAGTCTGCAAGAACCAGTTGTTGTTTCTCAAGCCCAAGACACTAAAACCGGCTTGGTCCATGCCATATATTTTGATCATGACTTGTTCGCTGTGGCACTGTGGGGAAACAAGCCATTGCAGACGCACAGCTTCAAGCTTCGGCGCGCGTTGACGGCCTGCGCTCTGCCCTGTGGCCTGAAGGGGTCCAAAGCGTGGGTTCCATGTCACGCTGGTTCGAAGCAACCGCCAGCAATCCAATACTCGCTGCTCTTCCAGACACATCCACCCCAGGGCCCCCGTTCGGGTTGAGTGTCCTTGGCGAGGCCGGCGCCCGTGCGGCTTCGGCCCTCGGAGAGCAGAGCCAGAGCGAGGAGAGCGATGTGGAGGAGTGTGAGGAGGCGCGTGAGAAAAGCGTAGAGCCCCTCCGCCCACACATTACAAATTGCAGAATTACAGAACTACTGGTAGTGCATTGTCAGGTGGAGGATGAGAACGGCCCACAAGGGACTGGGCTTAGTTTTCCCATTTCCTCTCGGGGGAACAAACAGTTTTGTCAGGGGCTCACGTCACCTTGCTGAATTTTTAGGCTCCCAGTTGTTTCGCTTTGTTCTTTGCTGCTGTGCGAAGGAGTTATAAAACAATTGTGAAAGACAGGAGCTTCGGCTTTGTCCCCAACCGCAGACTTCCCCAATACTAGCATTTGCCGTGAAGGCATTGCTACACGCCGCTTTTGACCATTAATATTGCTTACATTGCTTGCTATGGGCCGACTCATGAATCGCAGCAAAGACGCCTACACACCTCAACACTGCCATGAAATCCGACCAAGATTGGCGTGAGGCATGATTGAACTTCCTTGTTGCTTTCCACGGCACGTTCTACTTATTTGCAAAAGTCGATATCAATTGTGAAACGCCTCTTTCGTTCCGTTTGGTCCATCAGGCTTCCGATCCGAGGCGGCACTATTCAAGGCTTGCTCGTCTTGGTATGCCCTTCGTGTCAGCCCTTGTCTTGCCCAGGGCTCGCACGACCTGCGCTCGCACATGTTGCTTTGCGGCCGCTATCGCAGCCTGGGATGCTTGGGAAGAGGCCCCTCGACATGTTGAGTAGAGGACAAGAGGCCAAGGATGTTCTCTGCTGAATTTAATTGGGATTTAGTACCATGCCTCATGCCTTGTGTTGAAACACACCCATGGCGTAGTCCCAACATGCTCCAAATGATCTATTTTGGAAGGTTTCACCAGGCCAACTCACGACCAAGTACATCACCTGCAAATAGTTTTTTGGACTCAAGCTGTGAATATATTCTGCCATGGTGTATGAGGCAACCCTGGCAGTGTGTGTGTGTGTGGGACCTGCAAAAAATCAAGCTGTTGGCACTAGCTTTAAATTCGTAAAACAAAACAAGCACCGAGAAGCTTCGACACAACTCAGGGAGGAATCCTGCTTGCTGCTTCAACCATAAAGACTGAGGCGACCAATGTTTGACTATCAACTCATTTGAGACGTTGCAAGGAGCAAAACACACAACACACAATGCCAATTGTTGGGTTTCAACTTGACGTTCGGGCTTTCTGATTTGGTTTGAACTGATGAAAAATTCCTCATGTCTGTCACTGAACCATGGTTGGAGTGGAGAGGGGTGTCGTGAAAGGTACATAACCAGCACATCAAGCAACATTCGCATCCCATCCTCCAGCGCAGACCAGCCTTCAGCAAGCATCTATTTTTCTCCACAGTTATCTATTTTGTCCAGTTTTCGCAACCAATTTGTCAATAGCCATTGTGTCATTTTGGTGCCAACGAGGCTTGGGCCAAATTTGTTCAACCAACTAGGCCATGTTTAAAACCAAACGGAGGTTCTCTGAGCCAACATATTCCACACATATTTGAACAAGGGGTCCGCCCAAGCTCGGGTTACGTGAGCCACTGGAGTTTCCCTCTTTTGCATGGGGAAACCACTTCAAACTCCGTTTCAGCTGGGTTCTTTTTTTGGGCAGTGGATCCCATGGATTTTTTCAACCGGACCCCAAGGCTCAACCCGTGAAGGGCCTCCAGCGCGGCCCGGCCGCCCGGCCGAGGCGCCTTCGCCTCGGTGTGGCTCTGCCGCGAGGGCCGGGACTTGGTGGCGTTGAAGGTGCCGGAGGCCCAGGCGCAAGCGAGCCCGTCCGCGAGTCCTGCCCACGCCACACATACATTGCATATATATATATATAGTGTATGTCTATATATATGTTCCAGGCCGTGGACCCCCCCCCCCCCCCCCACCCCCCCCCCAAAAAATGGAGAAAGTAGGGGGCCTGGGGGGTGGTCTGTTGATGGTTGCCTGTTCTGGTTTTTATGTTCATCTCAAATCTATGTTCCCCCTTATTCGTTTTTAAAAGAGGGTTTTTAGGGAGCTTATTTATCGTTTTCGTTAAGGTAATCAATTGGGTAAATTGTCGCCTTGTTCATTGTTGGGCTGGGGGCCGACATTTTTTTCATTTGAAGGAGTTAACCCTTTTAGTAGTTATCAAGTTCTGGGGTGTTGGTGGTGTATTTGTTTTGTTAGTATTTTTCTCAATAATTTTCTTTTATAGGTTAAAAGTTCGCTATAATTATAACATATAAGATTTTACATGTTATTATTATATTATGATTATAATTTCAGTTCAGGATAATAATTCAATTGATTTGTCTTACTTGGTTCATACACAGGACAAGGCTGACATGGAGACCTGATATCACAAGAAGAGGCGACATGTTTGTTTGTCTTGTTGCGTTTATCATAATGACGGTTTTGTCATTGGTTTGCCTTATGATGTTTGTATCATAATGACGGTTTTGTCATTGGTTTGCCTTATGATGTTTGTATCATAATGATGGTTTTGTCATTGGTTGGACAGATGATGTTTGTATCATAATGATGGTTTTGTCATTGGTTGGACAGATGATGTTTGTATCATATGATGAAACCATCATTCGGATTTCGAAGGGAAAATGAAAGAGAATGATGTTTTTATCATACCCCGATGATGTTTTTGTCATACCCCTATGATGGTTTTAACATGTTTTTCTGCACTGTTTAAACCTGACCCTAAAACAAACTAACAAATATATCACTAATCAACTCAGTAGGAATTTTGTATAACTCATCTTGTTTATGTTTGATGTATCCCTCATCCCAATCTGTTTTTTTTACCCGATGGCAACCGTTGAGCAGTTTCAACTTGTTTCCCATTCCTAATTTTCCCACAATCCCTATTACATAATGGTTTGGGTTTCCATGTTTCAATGTTAGTCCAAAGCCGTGTCCTTTTCCTATAATTCATGCCATATTTGCAATAATCCACATCATAGTAGTTTAAACCACTCATAAAGGGTTGTTCCTTCAAAAGTCCAGTTTGAGGGTTCTCTATTATCCAGTATTGACAATTGAAATACCTTATTACTTCCAACGTTTTTAAAACAATACTATTAGCGTAATCTATGTTTCTAACCCCAGTTGTTTTAGCTCTGCTGTATTCGGTGCACGGAGGAGATGCCCAAATAAAATTGAAATGGTTTCTGTCAAACTGTTTGTAGTCCCATTCAAGTATATCACAATTAATATCAGCATTTTTCAAATCCAATGATATAACATTATAACCGAGCGACTTTGCTACTTTACCAACTGAAGAAGTACCACTAAATAGTTCTAATAAGTGCATATATTATTAGAACTATTTAGATATTAATATTTTCACATACATATCGTTGATGTTTTTCAGTTCTCTCGTGTCTTCTTATATCACATTTCCTGAAAACACCACCACATTCACATTCAATAGGTTCTTTTCGTTTTTCCAATATTGTTTCTTTGTTTTGGTGGTAGTGCTCCCTACTTTTATTACATATATGTTCTTTGTTGTTTTCTGCGTATTCCTTCCTCATATTTTGATAGTGTTCCTTATTGTCTTCCTTCCACTCATTAATTGTTCTACCTGCCACACATCTATTCACACAATCATTATTTTGAATGTAATAACCTTCTCTTTTCATTAACTGTTCTCTGTTTTCACATGGGTAGTCTTCTAATAATTCAATCTTACAGTTGTCCATTCCATATTCATCAAACAACAAACGACAGTTTGTTTTATTATTCCATTGTTCTGCCTTGTTATAATTTTGTCTATGTCTTGCCATTCTTTGGCTCAAGCTTTCACAGGTGCTTCCGATGTAGCACTTATTATAACCAACATCTGTTATTTTGTAAATCTTTGCGTTTTTATATTTACTGCTATCCATTAATAACCTTAGTTATCTTTTCTTTAACGCAGTTTATAATGTCCATAAGGCAGTGAATTGAAAGCATCAATGTAAAACCTTTTATTTTCATAATTACTGAGTGATTGCTTGACTTGAGACATTGAAAATAATTGATGGTTGCGACTACGAATAAAATTATATGTTATTTCATGCTTTTTGTTTTGAAATAATGCTTCGTGGTAGTTTTGGTAAGTCAGTTCTTTCTTCACCTTGTGTTTCACTACACCTTTTGATTTCTTTTGTTCTTCTTCTTCACCGTGTATTGTAAAAGCATACGATTTAGGCTTTAACCCTATGAATTGTGTTATTGTTTGACCGTTGCACTCATCCTTGAAATAACCGAGTTTTTTCTTATTTGTTTTGTCATGGCAGGGGTGTTCAGGTGGATAATCGCTAAAGTCCATATATTGGTTTAATTCTTTGAAGTCCTTGTAGATGTCCTCAGTGAATGTTTGAATTACATAACTGTCAGTATCAGTATAAACCAGTTTGATGTTTTCATTGTATTTCTTCTTAAGAACATCATAGTAGAACTGATACATATGTAATTTACTGATGTCAAGGATTGTCATTCCTAAGAAAATCGGTTTGTCCAGTTTCAGCTTCGCTTTAGTTTTTTCAACTCCTACAAGGTTTTCATTAATAATAAATCTATTTTTGAATGTTGGATTATTAACACATTTTTCGTATCTAACTTCATTATCAACTAATTCAAAGTCCATATGATTTCGTTTGTCTTCCATAGTTTTTCCATACACAGAATTATTCATTAATTTGAATAAATCTTTCTCAAAATCGCTTTTGGCTTCTTTCCTTTTACCTGTGTTAAAATCAATCCACGGTTTCAACCATGCCCTCTGTTGAAATTTTATTATCCTATGGACTTTTGTCATTTTCATTCCCATTTTCAAATAATACTGTAAAGTCTTGATATGAACCACATATTTTTCTTTATCCTTTAGATTTAATATTAACTTACTTGTTTTCTCATCCTTGGGATTTTTGCCATCATAATATATTTTGTAGACTTGCTTTTGATAATCAGAAAGCATACTAACATTTACATTCATTATTTCAGGCGCTAGTGGATAGTCAGAGTGGAAGTCGTGCAATGTTTCGGGATATTCCAAATCAACTTCCATAATATAACCGAACTCATCGTTTTCATTCCATGTTTCAACACTGGGCGTTTTCTTTGCCCACTTGATATTTTTTAGCGGTAATTTCTGGGACATTGCTAAACCATACAAGTTATTAGCATCCAAGTAGCTAATATAATTTGATGGCTTGTTCTCATCATATGCTTCCCCCATATACTTATTATTTGCCACCGCTAATTTATGACTGACTTGACACATTCCTCCTCTCATTCCCTTTTCAACCATCTCAAACATTTCTTGGTCATGCAATTGTTCTATTTCAACACCAGTTTTTAGAAGCATCGCGTCCCATGCGAAATTTGGCAATGTGTAATAATGAGCGGGGTCTAAACCGTAGTATTCCATACACAAGTCTCTAAAGTTTTCAAATACATCGGTCAGTAGTAAAACATCAGTTCTTAAATACAAGTCGTGATACTGCCCGAGTGTTCTAATCCCGAAGTGCTTCCATACTTTCAGTGCCCTTTCATAATCTTTATCACTTACATGTTCCTCACTTAATTTACTGTAAAACGCTTCTTTCGGTGGTAAAGCCCTTTCCTTAAATCTTTCAAAATCATCAAAGTAGTCATAGGGATAAATACCCTTATCAGTTAATAAATTCAAATCTTCATCGGTTTTAACATACGGGTTTCTAACGCTGTATCTGAAATTGTTCTTCCAATTCTCACGCTTTTTATCATCCTCATATTTACTCAACCTGACCAACTTATCCAACGAAGACGATAAGAAACTGAAACTGTCCTTGAAACAAAGATTTTTAAAACCAAAGGTTATAAACTTTTCGCTGTTCTGAGCGATACATTCTATTTTAGAATTCTTGTTCAATTCGTGAGCCTTGTTGATGATTAAGTGGGCATCATAGTTTTTAAGGTTATGAAGAAACACAGGGATTTTATAATATCTCATACTAAATCGTAGATTGCAGTCCTCGTGGGCGCAACCTCTATACTGTCCCGTAAAGTGGCAATGGTCCCAACACTTCTTTTCTCCTTCCTCAAATTTGTTTCCACAAATGAAGCAGTTAGTGGCATTATTGAAGTCCTCCCAGTCCTTCTCGGTTTCAATACGGTCTTTGTCCTCCTTCATTTTCTCCAAAACTTCCTCTCTGACTTTATTGATTTTCTCAACAAATTTATCCATACAATCCTGACCTCTGTATAAGTAAGGCTCACTACTTCCGGTTATAGCATTGACTACATTAATCATAAAACCACACGGACGATGATTTTGATATGATGTAGTTTTAGCTTTTGCCGATTTGCTTTTAACATCAATTGGCACAGTTAAACATTCAAAGTCGGCATATATTACGAATGGAGCTTTAAGTTTCTTGAAATGGTTTTTGAATTCTATTGTTTCACCTTCTTTTGGCATTTCTATTTTTTGACCCTCAACTGCTAGACATCCTTGTTCTTCGTGTTTCTTTAAAAGTTCTTCGGTCTTGAAACCATGTGAGCAGGTTCTACAGTGATACTTCTTCGCCTTCATCTTGTTAGTCTGACTACTCATTAACTTATCATAATTTTTGATATAAGCGTAATGGGATTTAACATCATCAGTCAATTTAATCAAATCGATTTTGTGTTGTGCTTGTGGGTTGTTGCTTCTTTTGTATAATAAAATAGTTTTACTATTCGTATCGGGGTTTATGTAATAAACATTGACCGATATGTGTTTGTTCTGTTCTTC